ACGGATTCGAGATTTAAAGATTCGAGATTCGACTTTTATGTAAGTGGTGGAATGCTCTAACCAGGATGAGCACCCTGCATCGGCTGGTCGCGGCGAGCAACGCTGCTAATGCATAGGAGGGGTGTTCGTGCCGAAGCTCGGGTTGTCATTGGGCAGATGCACATTCAGACCACGCCCTTTGGCTAGACGACATCGGCGGGCATCCACATCATACCTACTGGAGATAAGTAAGTGTTTATCCGATGTGGAATGGTGGTACTGTTGATATCGAGGTGGGATTGGAGTGTGTAAGTTGTCTAACCTAGGTACCAGACGGCGTAGCTCAACATGGTGTCGCAAAGTAGGTAGATATCCGTAGATCGACTCGGTGGGTATGCATCTAAGTAGGGTCTCACGATAGAAGATCCTAATGTGGGTCATTGCAGGTGCAATGTGACTCTAAAAAAGTGGAAAAGCGGGGATATGTTTATAACTAGATGACGCAATGAGACTTTTATTTAAATATTATACAGTATTATTTCATATTCCGATTGGAGAGTCTTGATATATGCATATTGCCCTCCATTGCCCACCTTCAAGTGATGGTGCCACAGCCATCTAAGTATGCGATCCGCTACGGCGTACAGTAGGCAGCCGCTAGCTAAGATGACAGGATGGGAAAAGCAACTTTGTGAATCGCCATCACAAGCCATAGCCGTGACGCCGCATTTAATAGTAAGACACGCTCCCATCTAAGGCGCTCCCCTCACACGCCGATACCGCAATCGCCCCGTTGTCGAGATCCGAGATGGTGCCATCAACACAGCACATCAAAAACGTATTATAATACCTAGCACATTGTTTTATAGCGACATGACACGGCTATGACTGGGTTCGTCTGCGAATGACTAATTGTTGATAGTTCCTCTTTTGGGCCGCCGTTGCACTTTAGACCGATGACAACCGACCTGGATTTTGCCACAACCGCTCACATGAACGATCTAATTATACGTCTGTCAACCGAACCATCTTTACCGTCGGTTAAGTCTCCTAAATTTGCGAATGATCCTCGCCGCCGAGTGAATATCGTAGATGTCGTCGGTGTCCAATGCGACAATCCTCTCCAGATGGGCTAGACTGGACATGGGATCGGTGCCTGTGATCGCCATAAGCGCCCGTTTTCTCGAAACCCAGTTGAAGTTTAAGCAGGGATTTTCAGTTCAATTGTGTCCTTCAGGGCCTCTCTCAACTTGATTGGCTTAAGGATGAATAGACCCTTGCGGTTCTGATATGCATATAATACTGCTCCCATGGAATTACTCGGGCTTAATCGTCTTGTCCCCGGGACTCAGTATCGGTTTCGGTGCCTAGAATCAAATATCGTCTGGGAAGTTCGAACTTCCAATCCTGTTATAGTCGTGGTCGAGATAGGAGTAAATCTGAGTGTACCTTATCATTTCGTTTCGACACTCAATGATGGGCACATGTTCTAGTGATTTGAGATGCGCCTATTATTCGGTTGGAGAGAGGTTCCGAATCGGCAACCCGATGTAAGACATTGATATCCGAGTATACGGCTGCCTCACGGATATAGGAGAAGGACCTAGAGAGGTCCAGCGGTACCAAACTAGAGGTGACTACCAGCGTGGGAGAGCGAGAGGAGACGGTCGCACTTGTGTCGATGGCTTACAGCGCCGAGGAGAAAGACGCCTAGAATAATTAGAATTTGCTTGCATGGCAGTCGCAACACCGCAAACACGCTAATCTAAGCCATTATCAGTCTGAGCATATCTGAACACATGCAAAAGGATCTCGGAAGCTCAACACAACCCAAGATTTCGTCGCGGTTTACACGACATGTCGACCTCGATCGTTTATACTAGCTACAACACCTGAAACTGTATACGAAGATTAGTCTATGGAACTTAGAGACCTTGGCGCGATAATAAGCATTTATGATATACCTTAATAGAGCTCCTGATAACAATAGGGAATAGAAAGGTATAATTATGATGCAGTCTCTCGTCGAATATTCCAGCAAATAACGATGTTCTAGAATCACAACAATATTAAAGGGGAAATAAAAATTTGCTGTGCCTATGCTAGTATCGAAGTAGTCTTCGGGATTTGATTCAATCACCGTATCCCCCACTTCTTATATATTATTCTGTTCCATTATGGTCGATACCCCACAGCTAGAGACACCTAGCGACCCCCGACGTGCATCGGTGATAGCATCACGAATATTCTAACACTTGACGACATAGGGCACTGACTAATCATTCCCATCGAACGTGATTACGAAACTCTCAACATGTGATATATCCGTCAGCCAAACTTCCCGGAGTTCTCATGCCTCCATGAATAGTGGTTCTGGCCATCATTGAATCATCTCAGAGCTAGTTGTATTTACTATAATCATACGCGACATAGGATGATAGCCAGCCAGATTCATCATAACAAAAAGGCGCTAGTTTGAGTTTACAGAGACAGGTTTCGCATGCGCATACTGAAGACCATACGACTACGACAGATGAGACTAGTATGGGGAATCATTCGCTCGTTACACCACTTTTACGGGCCGAGTCTGGGAAGACAAAAGGGCGGGCAAGGAGAAAACAAGCATCAGGCAAGTGGGTAGTGTGTGACGATGGTGAGTTTGCGCGGGATATTGAGCATGTAATAAGACACCCCATGATCTCGAATGCGTATTATTGGTATATCATGTGTGATTTTCTTCAAACACCAACACCTTATATATGCTAAACTACCGTAACTCAATAAGTGTCATGAGGTGATAGTGATAAGTGATAGTGATGCGTGGTAGAATCTGATATGAGAATGACTCTATAGTGTTACACTGCCCGTGAGATTATCTATGCAACGCAACCACACCGATTTAATGATATTTGCATACTAGATCTCACATAATAATAATAATAGAGAAACAAGCATGCAAATAAACTCCGAGAAGCGACGGAACTATTTACTTTCTACGCAGCGATGGAAGATTTTGGCCCAAGCTTCTATTCGCGCGGGTTCACCGTTGAGGGAATAGTCAATTGGTAATCACACGTGTTTCAACTCACCCCTTTCGAATACTGGTCTATAGCTTCTATTTGCCCGAGTTCGTCGTTGAGAGAACAATCAAAATTTGCTTCACGATTCATAATCGACAATTGGTAATCACACGTCCTTCAACCTCTCCTTTCGAGTGAAGTCTATAGCTTCACCATGTATAAGTATCGACGGGAGCCGACTTGGTATCCGGAAGTCAATCCAGCAGACATCCTCGCACGCATCTTCACAGGCACTCAGAACTAGACTCACCACCATCAACATTACTTCGCATATCCAAAATGAGAACCACACCTACTCTTCGCGTCGTGCTGCTGGGCCTCCAGGCTGCGCTCTCGACACAGTTGTCTATTCCTAGCGTCTCTTCGAGCGTCGCCAAGTACCCGACTCGTACCATCGCCAACGTCACCGTGGTAGACACCGAGCTGGTGCGAGAAGCGCATGCCTTCGCGCGTCAGCACAGCAGCGACGTGACGTGGAACCATGTTATTCGCGGTTGGCGTGAGTTACCTATCAAGGCCCCCCATCACCATCATAACAAGAGCGACAAGTAGTAATACTGACCGAACAACCACAGTGTACGGGACCCTCATGATCGCGCACAACGAGACGCTCCGCAAGACTGTCGATGCCGAGGCGCACGCGGTGGCCGCGCTCCTACACGATCTAGGCTGGGACCAGACGCCCGGATCGGCGGTGGTGAGCTCGGACCGCCGGTTTGAGGTAGACGGGGCGATTGCCGCGGCGGACTTCATCCACAGCCATGGCAGCCGCAGCACCTGGGACGAAAACAGGGTGCAGCTGGTCTGGGATTCGATCGCACTACATACGCAAGCGAGCATCTACACGTACAAGCAGGACACGGTGGCGGTGACGGGCACGGGTATCCTGATGGACTTCAGCGGGCCGGCTGCGGGGGTGACGCAGCAGGAATACGACACCGTGAACACCGCGTATCCCAAGACGGGTTTTGACTCTGGGGTCAACGAGACGCTGACCTGGCTCTGTCAGACGAAGCCTCAGACGACATATGGTGAGTTTTTGCGCCCGATATATATTCCTGTCTTGGCAATTCCCCCCTTTCGTGAGGCGAAATGTGGACGCCGGAATTGGATATCATGCTAATGCTCAAGCAGATACCTTCATACAGCCGTGGGGCGACAACTATGTCGCCAACTATAACTCGACGGGGAACCGCGTCTTTGACACAATCTTCAACGGCCCGCCGTCTACTCGGGGGTGAGCTAGACCTATACATGCCGACCCATTAGATAGAGATTTGAACATGGTGGGATTGAGGATGTGACCTCAACTGAGAAGGGGACGGAAAAACGGATATAATTGGGATGTGTGTGACCTCGATTGAGGATGGGAATAGTATAGAGCTTGCGAATAGACCGGCGGTGCTCCTGAGTATTAGCTATATACAACATCTCATTTGAATACCTACGACAATGTAGCTCTTACGTGACGTTTAATGGCTAGTTTACTGATGCTAAACGTTTGGCCCGTGTGCGCCATAACCCTTCGACCTGTATCTCTGCCTTTCAAGCATTCAACAAGTAGCAGATCGACTAAGACAATTGAGGAGAGGAACAAACTCTGTACCCAGACCGGTATAGTAGGCACTTGACTAGTAGTGCGGCAGGGCGGAAGACAGTATAACGAGACGATTTTAAACCGATACTCATTTAGCAATCTCAAATGTTTGAGCATATGAGGTAGAGAAGATATTTGAAGCCGAGCTTTCGCATATGATTAGGAGTTATAGCGTAGAGGCTTGAGAGTGCTTGTGGTCGCAGGCAAACATGGGGCGACGTACCTAATAGTTGGCCCCACAGATCCAGGTGGATACCCTTCTACCTCGGTACCTTATAGTCAGTACTTGGTGATGTATCCCCAACAATTGCTCAAGCATGTGTCGCAGTGGTTCATCCTTATAATCCGAATTGAGGTAGTGGCTAACCTGCCACGCTTTCACCGTGGAACCCGGGGTTCGATTCCCCGATTCGGAGTATTTTTTATGATTTTTTTCGTCTCTTAGCTTGACCTTTTGTCTGGGGTCTTGCTCGGGGGTCTATTCCTAATTGTGACTGAAGAGTGGGGCGGTGGGGCTATGCATATGACCGGATCGCCCGTTTGGGCTGAAGGCCCACTTCCTAGGTTCCAATTGGATAATTCGGTCGCATTCTCCGCCTTTGCACTTTTATGTCGCAGTTGTCCTAGGTAGGTATTGGCTCTCCCTACTTACTAAAACCCAACCAATAACCAGGCAAGTTCCAAAGCAACGTCTCCCAGAATTCCAACCCCGTCCCTGTCAACATGGGCTTGGATCTCCAGTTGAGTGCCAGTGAGGGTAGCTTAAACACCTCGACGGCCGTCTCGACCATCTACTTCAACAGACCGCTACTGTTGATAGACGCATAGCGCAGGTACATGACGACATCAGAGATTGTACGGTAGTCAAACTACTGCATCCCGTCCGGCAGCGATACCTGTCAGTCCGAGACGGCGCCCCCGAACGGCCAGTATTCGCCGGACGGCTGGAAGCCGAGGATGAAGGTGCGCGTGTCGCGCGCGCCGTTGGTGACGGCGATGTTGGTGCGGAACTTCCCCCCTCGTCGTCGCACAGGAACTGCGCGTCTTTGGCGAGGGCTCGCCTCTACATGGCAATCACCAGGCTTTATGCTACCTAGCCGAAAGCGTTCCCCCCATGGTCGTACTTAGACCAACGCCCGATAGCTCGACACTGGTCATGTCTTGGGCATGGCGAGGAGAAATGCGGCCTGGGATCCAATGTCTGACGCCGACTGATTTAGGGAAGAGGCTGAGTCGGATGCCAATCCGTCCATGTTCTCATAAAGTGACATGCGCGGGTCGTCTTTAGTAGGGGGAGGAAACCAAACAATCGGTGCTTGAACATGGTAGGTACGATGTATGAGCCAATTACCGGAAGCTTGTTCCCAACGCTGTCCATGTCTTATACGGGGATGTCGATATTCATTCTAGGCTATGATGTTGACGTCTGACCCGCCTAGTTGCAGTTTGCCTTGTCCGCATGCGAGAAAAGACGTGCAGCTCGGACGCATAGGCGATATCCTCCTTGTCTTTGCCGACTGATGTTCTCTTATCTCGCCTCCCAACAGGTACCCATCGACTTGAAGATCGGCAACCTCGTTTACGCGATAAATGTACTTTTTGACTAAAGAAGTGATGACGTTCATGTCTAGTTTGGCCTCCATGATTGCTGACTCTAGAGCTAGATGCTATTCCGTCTAGTCATCCCGAAACGTCAGGTCCAGCCAGTTTCCGGGGTAGAAAAATGCATTTTGTCTTGCCTCCCATAGACGGCAGTGCCGCATTGCATCTAAGTCGCTAGCCATGAGCTGCAGGCGAGCTGTGTCTTCTACTCCATAGACATTTTCGGCCCCAAGTATGTGGCGCTACACGAAGAGCTGGACCATGGATATGGCTTGCTTTATTTGGGGGGGTTGAAGCTCAGGTCCCATCTCCTCGTCGCAGGGGAAAGTGCCGAACAACTTTTCCGCGGCCGTGGCATATGGGCGAACTCTGTACTTATCCGACAGCAGGCACTGCACGAGGGTATTTCTTTGGCCGTCGCGTATCTCAGCGCTGGCTATCCTTAGCGCTGTTAGCCCGTTCCTAAGTGAAGCTAACAACAATCTAGATTACGTAGCCGACTGAAATATGGCCGCATGCATATTCGCTAGCCATGGTACGATCAGGCTCTAGCCTCACGTGCTCGGATGTGGCAAAGAACGATTCTAGCAACATGGTTAGGAAGTTGACCTTTTTCGTGAACGGCAGAGATTGTCATGGGGGTTGGTATCCGGAGTGAGGTCAGGTCATCAGTAGGCCACTGGGTAATATAGGTGTACGGGTTCAATATTATTGATTCCTGGGTTTTACTCCTAGAATTGGGGAGCCCTTTAGTCTTATGTAGCCCTCTATTTATCATGCAATCCCTTGGGTCCTAGGTGCAACCCACCTTCAACCCTCTTGCTACCCTAGTGCCTGGTAGGGATTCCCTCATTTCAAATGGTGCCGATATATCCTTGCACTCCTGTTTGCGTGGCTCCTCGGCCCATTCTAGGCTAGGGCGAAGAGCCATCCGTCAGCTCGATGAGCAGTCTCTTTGGCATGCCGCGGCCAATTTTGTCCCTGATCAACTGGTATTTCTCCAACTGTCTGATGCTATCGAGAGTCAGAGCATTGAAATTGAAATGATTCACCCGATTCCAGAACTTGATCTTAGTCACTTCAAGTGTGAACCGTGTTGCAATAAATGATAATTGCATTAACTTAGTCACAATGGCTCCCGTACTAGTCACACGTTGGCCGTCAACGAGGGTGTCTGTCATGAAGCTTGCCTGCGCGATCCTGACAATGCCTTGCGCAGCCCCATGTCAATCTAGTCACATTCCTACCATATTAGATCCCATACCACTTCCCGCCCAGTAAGTGGTTGCTGATGGCGGTGTACGCGTTTGACGAAGCTTTACTAAACTTTAACTACTCTCTATCGACCTTTAATGGTGCTACGTCTTGGTCCACTTCGACGAGAATGGTGAATGCATAAGTAGCTGCCGTTGGCGGTCGAAAATATTCATTGAAAGACGTGACACTGGCGGACAATCTCTAGTCGCAAAAGTACGTCCATTCCAAAGCTTATTAAGACGTCACTTAGTTAATATCTAACAAAAGAAGCCGCAGCATGGTCGAGTCAAGCTTGGGAAAGAACTGTCTAAAGGATTTTATAATAAGCTCTTGCTTCCGAGTTCATTCCATGATCGGTACCATAATGACAACAAAGAGCCCATACCATCGCACGGCTTGCTCCGTTGGGTTCCCTTCAGCATCAATGGGATCCTCGTCAACAGGGGCTCAGGCGCCGTGACTGGATCTTCTAAGAAATTGCCAATCTTTTGAGCCTCGTCTTTCCAGAGCAGACGATTTCATATCCCTTCGAGACCAGGTCTCGTTCTATTGAAGGGTCGCTCTGGACCATACCCTGCATAAAAAGGACCATGTTCGTAATGTCGACGGCTTTGTCTGGGGTCACGTTCGTTGACGAGCTTCGCGGTTCTTTCTTGAAGTTATAACAGCCAGCGTCGCTGCCGGATCCTTTAAAATATCGAATTGGTGGTCGAATATCGACGCGAACACGCCATAATCAAGCAAAAGATTCCCGGTAATATTCACAGGAGAGCGATTCTATATAATTGAGACATTATCACTAGAGACGGCAGGCCTATCATTTGAGAGGAGAGTTTGGTGAGCCCTCGCTCCTCATGTATAATCCATAAGATTAGTAGGATCAAGTGTACGTAGTCCGAGAGCTTTATGTCGCCCGTGGCAAGCTCGTTGGGGAGAAATGCATTGTTTTATCCTAGATACGACTTACAAAAGAGTCAATAATATAGAGAACTATCATTGTAAGTGTTCATACCCCCCAACCCCTACAGAGGTTGCGACTTTAATGGCGCTGTGCCAGTTATGTCTAGTAACTGCTTGACCGCCGCAAGGTGACCAAGCGACTCGGCACCAAAGAGCACGCTTCACAAAGCAATTAGGGTGGAAATAGGTATTTCAGGCTCTCGATGGACCACTGGAATTTATTTTTTAGTCATGGAAACCCCTGAATCTGATTAAAAAGAGTAGGGTCAATGATGTCCTCTGTTACCCCCGTTTCCTGTAAAGGGGGATCTGCTAGAGACTCATGTCCATCAAACTTGGTGGTCCGGTTCTTATTCAGAATTACAAGGTGCTCGGCTAAGAGACTCGTCTTCAGCAGGCTTAGTAAGCCGTCAAAGTCCAGGCCGCTGCCCTGGATATTTCCACAGGCGCTTTTCTAATCCTATCAAAAGACCTAAAGGTAGCCAATAGTTAATACCTCAAGACGCCAGCAAGCGTAAGATAGGCTCCAGTACTGTGCATCGCCTAGTTATAGGGGAAGATGTTCATGGGGAACACCATGTCACCTACAACCTTCTCATGGACAGCATAGTTGGTATTTTTTGGGCTGAGACAGATACATGTCGTCGTTGCCATCTTCGCCAATTTTGGGAGCCTTGGTAGGCGGCAAAGAGCCTACCTTTGCTAAAGCTGCCTCCATCACCTCTTTTACGAAATCAAGCTACCAGATGAGAATTGACACACGAGAGTTGCAGCAGACTGAGATCTGCCATTCTTTTTAGGAGTTTACCCCGCAGGGATTTTGTATCTACGCAGTTCACCTTGTCTAGTTTCTCCAGCAGATTGACAAAGTACGTAGCGGGAGTAAAGACAAAGGCACACGCGAAACATGCCCGGATCTGAGAGAAGGTTTCTCTTTAGACTTGCTTTTGTCGTCTACAGCATCTATAACCACATCGGCAATGCCGCTTGTTCCTCGGGGTTAGAGAGCTTCGGCCCAAAGGCCTTCTTGAGTCACATTAATCATGAACACTCTTGTGACAATTCTACTAACTCGATCGAGTGCTACCCCGGTACCTGCCAACTTATTCGCTGCATCCTGCTAGTCTTTGGCAATATCTCCTGGTGAGGTATATTTGCACCAGATTATTGCACTGATATCTTCTGAATACTTGACCAAGGCCTAGAATTTCTGCAGCCGCGTTAGAAATGTTGTCATATCCTCGACTTGATCGGGAGTAACCCCGTCAGTTCCAAGATAGGTACCCCATGCTCTCTCGTTTAATTTTCGCATCAAAGACATTCGGAACGGGCTGCTTTGAGATAGTGAAGCCTGGTGTCTCCGATGCTAGCCTTATGAAGGCCGTGACTTCCCCGTCAATTTCTCCAACTCTTAGATTATACTAGAGTTTATGAGCCCGGCAATTGCAGATGTTGGGATGCGCTTGAATAACGGAAGTTTGGCGACTGGTCACTCTGGGCTGACAGCCGCTGGTAGTGACTCAGTTTTGATGGTATTAAGAAGTTCTCCCAGGGCCTGGGGTGTTTGGGACACCCGATATTATGTAAATAATTTATT